TTAGGGTTTATAAGCTTTGAGCAAACTCATAATGAATGCCACTCCTCTAGAGATAGTTACCTTAGACCAAAGATTTACATACCTATTATCCTGTGATTTTGTCCATGTTCTTTGTTTCTTCTAAATTTTATACAGTTAGTTAATAGAAATATGGAGCAAAAATGACCTCTTTATACTTAGTTCAATTTTTCTGTTATACTTTTGTCATTAGAATAAGGACATCAAAGTGTTATTGATTTGCTAAACTACTTACGCATGCATCTCAGAGCTCCTGAGAGGATTTTAGCATCACTGACACGAGAAGCTGGGCTGGTCTGAAGCATGGTCAATTTGCTTATGGGATTGAATTGATTGTGCAATGATCTATTCAATTGCTCACTCACTGACCTACAGCGACCAACCCGGTTAGTCATGTGGACACGCTTGCTGCTCTCACTCATCACTATAAGCGAATCTGGTTTCTATTTCAATAGTCATAAATGAAGCGTTCAGTGAAAAAGACTAAAAGTCAAAAGCTGTAGCTAGGATTGCAAGTACAATCGCCAAATAAATGTGCTGTAAGAGTACTAATTAATGTTCTCAGAATGGAACAACCCTAACAACATTTATGAAATGGTATTTTTCCCTTTAATGGCACATACCCATCCTTTAGATAAATGCTGGCAGAAAAAAATAATTTCTCCAATACATTTTGCTGTAAAATAGCTAATTATTTTTCCACTTTGTCTGTATTCAAAGTTGATTTAATTTTGTAACAATATGTTGTATCTCAACTTGGACAAACTTAAACCCCTGGATCTTGGATAATTTATTCTAAAATGGACAAAATAGTCATGCTGATTAAGTTAATAAAATGACCTTTTAATGGTGGTATTTAAAGCAAAATTATAATGTACAAACAAAAAAAAATTAGTCACAATACATTTAACTTGGCCAAAGAAAGACTCTAAAATTGTCTGTAATGTATTAAATTTTTTCAAGTATTTATAACTTCACAGCAGGTTATCTTTGAGTAAATCGTTGCAAATCTTATTAAAATATGCTTAAATTTGACCTAATTGTGTGATTTGAGATCATTTAACTTCAAATTCAGAGAATCATATCTATAATATATTTTATTTTCCTTTTCCATTTCACATTTGGTTTGCTCAAAAACAAAACACAATAATACAATGGAAATAATTACAGACAATGTAATATATGCACTTGAATTTTTGTGTTATCACTTGACATCTAGTATATATATATATATATATATATATATATATATGATATTGCTATCCCAGAATGCTTACCATTCACATGAAAATACTCAGAACCTCAAATCCAATCAAAAACACTCCATTATAAATGTTAACATTGGCAAATAATTTTATCTCCTTTTTCTTCTGTGACCATCTGAAAACTATGCAGATAATTAAAAGAGGTAAATATGTATAGATATGAAAGTATCATGAGAACTGGAAGTCATTAGCTCAGAAGACTTTCCACAAACTTCCACAGCAAGAAGTGGAGAATTGTGTGATAAGTTACAGCAAAAGAAGTTGCAGTCTTTGAGCATGTGACACACAAGAGCATAACAAGGGAAGAAGCATCCAGTGCAGAAGGATCCTGGGCAATCTCTGTGGCACCAAGGTGAGCATGAGGCTGCCCTAGAGGAGGGCCATTAGTTGGATACCTGGTATGAAAATGTTGGTCCTTTACTGGTCCTTTTCATAAACCACATGTGCAGCTGAACAAGTAAGTGAGAGGTGAAATCTCCCATTCAAGAACCTCTAGAAGTCTCTGTCCTGTCATACTTTAAAAGTTTCTTTGTGGGTCAGTCAAGTAACTCAGCAGATTAAAGCACCTTCAAACAGGCTCAGGGGCCTGGGGTTCAATTCTTGGGCCTTCTGTGCCACCCCCGCTACCCCTAGGGAGTACTGAGATGACAACTGAAACATTGAGACTAGGCATGGTGGTGCTCATCTGTAATCCCAGCTCTTGGGAGGCTGTAAACAGGAGAATCACTACGAGTCCGATCCAGTAGTGAGATCCTGAACACCCTGTAGACCCTTCCCTAAAATACAAAAGAAATAAAAACGCTTCATTGTAAGCACATACACTTGTAGCCATATATGCCTGTGAGTTGACACACACCCCACATGCACCCCCAAATAGAAAACAAAGCAACAGATATTTCAGGATATAATGCAGCCAAAACTTAGAGATCAAACACAAGAAAAATAAGTTCTTGGTTAGTCCTAGAAGGAAGAGAAACAATTTAAGGAAATTGAAAGTAATCTTGATCAACATCTACATTCATAAAAAATAATCTCACTCTATGGAAAGAATCAACCTAGAGCTGACAGGAATACATACTATGTTGTCTGAAAGAAGAAAACTGAAGAAGCACAAGAGTAATGATATACATGGAAAGAACTCATCTCTTTAGCAGGAAATTTGTGCATATAAAAATGGCTAAAGCAACAGATGACACATTATTATTGTCAAGAAAAAGTCATAACAGCAGAGATATCTCAAGCTCGAAATGTTACTTTTCATTGTAAGACATTTTACACTATTCAGCACCTTAAGCAAGCACAATGCATTGTTTTCATTTTTAAAACAAATGTTATATAACTTGATAAAATTATTTTCCAAATCTGTATAGTAGTATATCACATAATAATTATAAAAGTAATGACTTTCTCTATATGACACAAATTTTACAAGTTTCATGTATCTGCTTCTGATTCCTTGTCCCAAAAATATTTTGAACAAGTCAAGTAATTGAATTTTTCTTAATACAATGTCTCACAAACAATTTTGATTATTCCTTGTTGAATCCTTTGCATTTTTTTCCTCTTGCCCCTTTTTCAAGCTCTATGGCTATCTCTATTATCCTGACAGTGATGTCTACATAGATCAGTAGGAGAGAGGTGCATAGAAAGCGTAATTGCTCTTGTGTCAAGGACGTAGTGAAGTGGAGAAAACCTCACACATTTCTGAAGACATGCTAAGAAAATAAAATAATGTCCTTTTAATTCATTTTTGAAACCAAAGAAGGTAATTGACTGATATTATTCCCTATTTCCCTACAACCAAAGGCACATATGTATAAAATGAATGCTTCTACTTCAGCCCTAACTGAAATTGTTTTTCTCCAGAAAACTGTATTCCCAAAAATATTTTGTATATTGTTTTGTTTCACCAGTTTGCTATTAAACATTAAAACGGATAGATGGGATGTGTTTTTGCACGTGCAACACTAGTCAAGAAAATGAGATAAAGGGGAGAAAATACTAAATTTCAAAAATGCTCTCATTTAGATCTACATGTCCCTGTTTGCTGTCATAGTCTTTGGAAGAGAAGTGGACCTTGGGGGCACTTTCACTGCCTTACTGTTAAAGTACGCAGTCTGTGTGGGAGAGACAGATGACTAGAGTGGGAATGATGCTGGTGTAACCCCCAGTTTCTCCCTTCTCTCTGCATCCTGGATGCTATTCTGTAGGAGCTTAGACCCTCTACTATGCAGCCAAACATACGAGGACCAAAACTTCTGAGATGTTCGTTAAAATACACCTCTCCTCCTTTAAGTTATTATTCCTCTTAGCATATTAATGGGGAAGGTGAGTAAGACACAAAAAGAAATGACACTAACCTCACTGGAAACACATTTTCATATTTTCACTTAAACGCTAAAGAAGACCTACTGCTCTGTGGATGACCTTCGCTAGGTGTCTGTGCAAGCAGTGTGCGGTGAGTGAAAAACACAGAAGTGCCCCTTAAAAAAATCTCATTAATATTATCAAAGCCATAGAACCAGATCAAGAACTATCAAGTAAACTCATTCAAAAAATAGGGTGAAATGTGTGGTTTTCATGGCTGTGTGAATAAATTTCTAGAATCTGTATCTATTGAGGGAAAAGTTAATTTTACTTAAAACTAGAAGAAAGATGAAAGAAGA